TCCGCAGAGTGGCTGGGCGCTCCCTTAGAGATGGGGTGAGGGGCTCGGTCACACGGGAGGAGCTCGGAGTAGAGCCGCTGCTACTCCACGTCGAGAGGAACCAGTTGAGGTGGCTCGGGCATCTGTTGCGGATGCCTCCTGGACGCCTCCCTGGGGAGGTGTTCCGGGCACGTCCCACTGGGAGGAGGCCCCGGGGAAGACCTAGGACACGCTGGAGGGACTATGTCTCTCAGCTGGCCTAGGAACGCCTTGGGGTCCCCCCGGACGAGCTGGAGGAAGTGTGTGTGGATAGGGAAGTCAGGGCGTCTCTGCTTAGACTGCTGCCCCCGCGACCCGGCAACGAATGAAGCGGAAAGAAAACGGATGGACGGACGGACAGTTGGCACAAAGCCAAATAAGGGCAGACACAGTCCGGTTCGTCCTTTCTGTTTTAATGTTCCGATAATGACATGCGTACTTTATCCCTTACATAATTAAATTCAACCATTCGCTTCTCATTCAGTTTATGGCACCCCTTCAAACCGGTTCTCTGGTTAGTTTTTTACTCATTTCGCAGTCACCCCTGACCAACTCCTTTGGGCCGTTTTAACGTTCTCTCTCGGTCTTTAGTTGATAATGGTTCTTAGTCCACTAAATTTCGACCATTTTCCTCACTCAGTCTGCTGCCTTTGCCTTTTGAAGCTAACACTATTTTTATACTCAAAAGCTGTTAGTCTACCCATGTTTTAACTAAATGACGAGTGCGGGGAGGGGCCCTCTGTGAGTGTGTCTATACAGTATATATGTATTACGCATTAATATAGTGGTGGCCCATCAAGTGTGTTTGTACCCGGGGCCCAGAATTTGGTGCTACCCCCATGATTCCTGTCACACTCATAAACAATTAAGAAAATGAGCAGAGAATGTTGGTATTTATCTCTCCACTCACAAGTGTATCCATACTTTATCACTCATTTCTGTAGTTTAACCTGGATTTGAGAGCTTTCATAGTCGACTTATCAATTCTCTGGGCTTGTCTTTAGTCGACAGTTAGTTTGCTCGACAACAGTCCTATCTGCAGTAGCTCCCATGGTCTCTCAGAACCATAGGTCTCTCAGAACCATTGGTCTCTCAGAACCAGTGGCCTCTCAGAACCATTGGTCTCTCAGAATCATTGGTCTCTCAGAACCGTTGGTCTCTTAGAACCATGATCTTCAGGGCTTCAGAGCAGGGAGCAGAGGCCACATATACGTCCTCTCTAACAGACTAAGATACAACATTACCAAATGTAAGCAATAATTAACATTCCTGGATTAGCAATGATGGCGTGGCGCTGGCGGAGGAGTTGGTCCATCAGAGCAGTTCCACATGAGTGGCCCCCGCACCCGCATTCACGTCACGTTCAGGAGCCTCCACCCTGGACCGGGGCCGTTCTCTCGGTCAGAGGAGGTTTGCTCTGCTTTTCTTTTTCCTTATGATTCATTTTAAAATAAAGAATATAAATGAATGTATATTGTGATGGTGTGACCTCAACTCTTTAATGTTAACTATTAGAAGAAAGCAGTGTCATTTTTTCTAAGATGTACTAATAACACAAATAATTAGTTTTTTATGTTTTTTTTGTATTTGTTTTGTTTTTTGACCCCTAGTTTTTTATTATTATAGAGCTTTACCAAATGGTTGCTTACGATAAGATTAAAGTTGTTGATCTCACAATGGAAACATTTTCTTTAATTCAGTCTAATTTGATTTTAAAAGTGCCTAAAACCAAGAGAGAGGCCCCAAACAGGTTTATTTCAGTTCCAAGCTTCAAGTATTTAGTGACTCAAAAAGTGATCCACTGCTTTGGTGGTTGAGGAAATCATTGAAGGTTAATGTAGAAAAAGATGAAAACTTCAATCAAATGGGGGAGAGGCATGACTGGAGTGTGTGCTTTAAAGCTTCTCTGTACTCTTTGATACTGTATATCACGATGATTAGTGGTTATGATCACCCAGACATGTGAACTCCCAGAGCAGTCAAATAGATGGATTTTAGTTTTGGAAGTGTAATGACTCTGCTTGTAATAATAATAATAATAATAATAATAACAATAATAATATAATAGTAATAATAAAATCAAACTGCCTTTCAAAACTCCCACACTGTACAAACATGGTACAACTATTCGAAAGTGTTGGGGTTGAATGGTCAGCCATTTATGGTCACTTTCAGTGTGTTGCTAGTTACCATAGCAACACACTGTTTACTGTCAGCCGTTAGCATTTGGTCTTTAGCATTTAGCATCAAACTGCTTCATTTGAAGTTACGTTTAATAAAATTGTTGAAAACTTTTTGGGGCAATTTCTCAGAACTCCATTGGTTTAAAACGGAGCAGTCAATATGACGGCTCTGGGAGTTCTGGTAGTTTCATCATTTTGGGCATCATGCCATTTTAATAAACAGTTGAAGTCATAAACATATTTACCTACACACACATTCTCTTCACTGATCCTCATATTTAATCCAGGTATCATTGACTATTGACATGGAGACGAATTGGGGAGAGGGGTGGTATGGGGTGACTGTACTTTTTGTCAATAACAATAAGCTGCATTTAATTGTGTGTGAAGTAGGGCTGTCAAAATTATTGCGTTAACGCACGTTAATAAAAAAATGCCCCGGACACATGCGCGTGTGAGATGGCGACAGAGCAGGTCTCTGAGAATTCAAGTTTTACAGAATACGTGCGTGACTGCGGGGTACTTGTGATCCAAGACCATACACACACAGGACAATTCTCTGCATTTGCGCAACCTGTGCGTAACCTGTGCAAACCTGTGCGTAATCTGTGTGAACCTGTGCGAACCTGTGCGAACCTGTGCGTAACCTGTGCAAACCTGTGCGTAACCTGTGCGACCCTGTGCGTAACCTGTGCGAACCTGCGAAGCTGAACTATGGAGCCTCAGGAAGTGTCCGTGTCTCATCCTGAAACACAACTAAACTGGCCAAATTAAAGATGGGGTACGTACATTTTCCCTTTAGTTTACAGCTCATGTTGGTTGTGCCCAAAGTAAAAGGTTGTGAGCAAATCAAACAGATTTAAGTACATTTGGTATGATGACAATGTGTCATTACATTTGATAATCTCATTTAACTTCGATTGGAGTGGATTTGAAATAGAATGTTAAAAATGCGATTAATCGTGAGTTGACGCACCATTACTATGCGATTAATCAACTAATCATTGTAATCGTTTGACAGCCCTAGTGTAAATATATAAATGATAGTAATGATAAAAAGGGCTATTAACATATTTTGATCCAGTTTGAGGTACATGTCTTTATTCAAAGTAGATCAAATATGTATCATGGGAAAATCAAAAGAAATAAATCAAACCACCAAGTCTTGCTCACCTTGGCGTCTTGCTGCACCACATTCATCTGTTGGACAATAAAGTGCAGACTACATGGGTCAACAGAGAAAACATCTAAAATCAAAATCAACAGAGCAACGAATCCTATACTGACACAAGCTCCAAAACCACAGAATAATACACCGGGATAAAGTTTTGGACTTCCAGAAAACATTTGTGGCCAAAAGTTGAGCAGTTTGACCATGATAAATGTTTGAAGGGAGAAGGATGAGACATGCACGCCGAAGAATACAACCTGAAGCATGGAGAATGGGGGGGGGGGGGGGGGGGGGCAGCATCATGTTGTGGGGGGTTTGATGTACTTGATGAAGAAAAAGGACGATGTGGAAATAACTGTCTGCCCTGATGAAGCCTGATCAGTCAAAACACGTTGGTGTCCCTTGATAATAAAGGATTTTTACGTAAATGTCAGTTGTGCCTCAGATCTTTTTCCTCTTTGATTTAAGCTTTCTGTACATGGATCCTGTAAGAGCACCTGACTCATAAATACACCCAACCACAGCAGCGCTCTCTCCCTTTTATTCAGAGTTCTATTCTCAAGAGTTTGTGAAGTTACCGCTATCACAAGAATTTCTTTTATGTAAGGTCATCTCATATGGCAGTATCAAAAATACAGTATCTAAATCAGAATCATATCATCAATTCTTTCACAGTGGCTCTAAATATATGTGTATGTAACTCAGGACCAACTCGGTAAAGGTTTGCTTTGTCTATTTTCAGAAAATCAATAACAAATCATAACATAAATGCAAATTCATAAATAATTATGATTTTATATTTTTATTTTTTCCTCACACAATGTGGTTTAACCCAATGGTTTGTGAAAAATGTCACAAACCATTGGTTTGGATAAACCCCATATAGTTGTTTTCATACAAGAATACCAACATGAATCATTATATTTTGCTGTGGACGCATCTCTGTCAAAGAATGACCTTAAGTACAGTCAGTGGACACACACATCTGTTCTGATCTTGAGAGACGTGTTGATAAAGAATATAAAGTCTTCTTCTGAAACAGATTCTAGACTAAAACTCATGGAGATGCAGAAACTCATTTTTATAAAAGACAAATGACCGGAGCAGTGGGTACAGTCCTCTGATCATAGAACTTTGTGGTCCGTTTGGTCTTCTTCCATTGTAATATAATGATGGCACATCAACGTACACATTTTATGACAAATTTATTAAATAAGTAATTTACATAAAAATAGACTGCACAGTGGAAAAGAACAACAATAAATAAATGTTTCAAATCTCACAAAAATTCACAACAGACAATAGCCTGCATAAAGATTTCTTTTGAAAGAATTTCATTAAAAAAATTAAAAAAAAAACTTGTGAAACTATCACAGGGAACAAAACACTAACAAAACGAATCACCGCAACACAAAGCAATTATTGCTTTCAAATAGAAGTCAGTTCAGTAAAGCTACAAACACACGTGCAGTCTTTGAAAGACGTGAATATGTGCAGCAACAGTATGTAAAGATTACAATGCACCTTTTCTTTTGGTTACAACAGCCTCGTGTGACTCACAAGTCCTCTCTGTGTAGTGCAGTATCAGGTCAGGCAAACTGTGGGGACGTGTCTCTGCTGCAGGGGCCTCACGTGTCGCTGTACATCCTTTTGCAGTCCTCTGTGGGGGACGGGGACTCGGGCCCCATGCCCACCTGAGAGAACGGGTCCTCGGGGGTGCGCGGCAGCCCGGGCGGCGTCATGCGCTTCTCCTTCTGCCTGCGGTTACAGAACCAGACGCGCACCACCTCCTTCTCCAGCTGCAGAGAATCCGCCAGAGCGTTGATCTCCTGCGCGGACGGTTTCGGACACTTCAGGAAGTGACTTTCCAGCGCGCCCTTTACACTCACTTCTATGGACGTGCGTTTTTTCCGCTTGCGCCCCTGAGTGGCAATCTTATCTATACTGGTGGGGCTCCCGTTGGTAGAGTCTGCCTCCTCCAGCCATTTGTTGAGCAGCGGCTTTAGTTTGCACATGTTTTTGAAGCTGAGCTGGAGCGCCTCAAACCTGCAGATAGTGGTCTGTGAAAACACATTTCCATAGAGCGTGCCCAGGGCGAGTCCCACATCTGCCTGAGTGAAGCCAAGCTTGATGCGCCTCTGCTTGAACTGTTTGGCGAAGTGCTCCAGGTCGTCGGATGTCGGAGTGTCTTCATCTGAGAGCGTGTCGTGCGCCACATGGTGCTGATGGTGTGCGTGGTGCGCGTGCTGGCTGTGGTGGTGATGATGCTGGTCCAGATCAGGGGAGTCTCCGCGCACTATTCCCGAGTGCACGAGGTTGTGTCCGTGCGCACTGAGCATGCCGTTAACAGTGAAGCCTGTCTGAGAGTACCCCAGAGCCGGGTCCGCCAGGTGCGCCCCGGAGCCGCCGGTCCAGCCGCCAGAGTGCTGGTGCGCGCCCAGGTGCGTCCTGTGGTGCAAAGTGGCGCCAGGATGAAGGTCCTCACGGGACGAAGCTCTCTTTGCCTCCTGTGATGGAGCGCAGGGCGGCCACCCGGACCCAGCTTCCGCTGCCGCTACTGCAGCTGCTGCTGCTGCCGCTGCTGCGTGCGGGAGAGACGTCACCCACTGGTGGCTGAGCATGTGACTTCCATTGCCCACAACGGCGCCTTGCATGAAGTCACTTTGCGTCATCTTGACCGGTGGCTCTGTCCGGTACCCGCTGGAGCCGGTGGTGACCTGCTGCATAGCTCCTCTCCTCTCGGTGTGCAGGACCCTGCTGGATAGGTACGGGCTGGACGTGGCGGCTGCCATCCCCCAAAGCATGTGTGAGTTTAAAAAGCTTCACTTCTGTCCGCTCCGCATGAAAGTATTGATGGTTTTTCACGTGCCAAATGTGAATGAAAAAAGACTGATAAAGTACAATGGCTAATAAAAGATCACACTCAGTGAATGTCTCCAGTTTGCGCTCTGTGCTGAGTCTCCGCTGGCAGTGACTTAAACGTTTTCTTTCGTTTAAGAAAAAGAAAAAAAAAATCTTTATTCGCTAAAGTCCATTAACTTCAGACATCGCGTCCCGAGCGTGGTCCTCGCCGAGAGCCTGAGTGTTTACTGTGCTCCTCAACCTCGTCTATTCATTTCCCATTCTCATCCAATTACAGCAGAATGGTGCGCAGGGCTCGCACTGATTGGACACGGGGAGGATGAGGAGTGTCATCTTGTCCAAGAGGAAAGTTCTGTGAATGGGACACCGTTTAACTAAGTCATTTCTTATTCCTGTATTATTTAAATTGATTTAAACCTAAACATGCGGCATGGTGTTCGGGACAGTTCGTGCACGGCGTCATGTTGAGATTTGCACTTGGTCAGAGTCAAAGACCTGTGGGGACTCTGCTGACCACCGCTGTTACTCGTTACATGTTAACATTGTAACGTGTAACATTTTACAGAGATTACAACTTAATATACAATATTACTGACAGTGTGTGTGTGTGTGTGTGTTTGTGCGCGCATATTTGTGTGTGTGTGTGTGTGTATGTGCGTGTGTATGCTTTAGATAAAACATTATGTTTATTTATTTTATTATTTGATTTCTTCAATATCCCACCATTATATCATCTGGTTCCATTTTGGTTAGATTTTGGAAAATCAATGCAAGTCGAAGTAACTCGAATGACTTCAAAAAGGAATAAATGACTCTATTTCAGGGGTCTCCAACCTCAGGAGCCACCAGTAGCTCGCCACCCCCTTCCAGGTTGCTCACCAAAGGATTTAGTAATGAACAAATAAAATAAAATACTTCATATTTCAGATTGTATTATTCATTATCATAATGATTGTAAATGCACTTATTTTGTCACTAGTAAGTTGTAACAAATAACCACATTTTCCTAGGGCCACTTAAAGGAGTAGCTCTCTGCCCCAATCATCCCGGGAAAGTAGCTCTCTGGGTGAAAAGTTTGGAGACACCTGCTCTATAACAATTACTTTTCGACATGCCCAAAGACGCTCGCTGCTTTTGTAATGAGTTACTCCAAACACAGCTGGCCACCTGAGCCGAGAGAATAAGTCTTTGAAGAATATGGTCCGTCTGATGCACTGGACGTAATCTGCCATGATAATATTGATACTATTGATTTCTCAGTCGCTTTGGTGCATTTTTCACATTAGACTTAAAGTTCTCATAACTATTAGTTCCACCTCCACAACATTGAGTCATTTGTGAACTTCATCGTAGCAATTTCTCATTCCTATGAACAGATTACAAATGCTTTTGTTCATGTATCAGTTACTTTCATACAATTCTCTGTTGTTTTATGACATTGTAATTTGCTTCTGATGCTACTTATGACTTCAGAATAGTCATTCCCTATAAAACCAATAGTCCTCATTTCATCGCTTTGGTCGTCACATACAAAATTATTGAACTATTTCTCCAAATCAAAATCTGTCAAGCTAATCTCATACATTCCTTTATTTTATTTTTTTTCCTGTAATCTTTCCTAAATTGAACAATTGCTCTCAGGTGAATTTCAGCTTCACTCATGAGGAAGTGTGTGTTTTATTGTTTATATTTGTCACAGTTCTACCATAATGATATTCTGTATGTTTGTTCTACGTAAATACTGTAAGTGACTGTATTTTTGTTTCACAATGCTGTAGAATTGCAAAGAGCAAATGCAGTAAATATGTGAAAGACATACTGTACAGCCCACACATACATACATACATATACATACATACACATACATACACACATATACATACATACTGTACATACAGTATGTGTCTTGTACTCAGTTACTTCACTAAATACAGTCATTGTAACTTTACTGTAGTTTTTGGCTTTATAGTGTTTAGTGCACATCGAGTGTAACAGAGATCTGACTTTTTTACTTTGAAAACACAGAGTAAACTTTCACAATGAAAACATTCAGTTATTTGACTGTGTTGTTCATACTCAATGGTGTTGGGACATATTATTTTGACGACACAGTTTCATTGACATGAAGTCTTGCTTTTGAGGAATTCACTTTTTGAGAAAGTGATGCACTTTTGCAGGTTATCTACGAGGTTTTGCAGTTTGCACTAATTGTTCTGAGAAATGCACGAACTGTTGTGCAAATGTGAAGAATGATGTGAGAAATGCACCAAAGCAACTGAGAAAAACTGTAAAAGGAGATAAGAGAACCAGATGGAAATGCCAGTGTAGAACAGTGCAAGGGAATGTACGGACGCAGATACAAAACACAACACAGCATGAACCATCTGCAAAATGTGAAACTTCTTCACTGTCAACCACAGTATATTCCACAATATGGTTTCTCTTTGACCCAAGTGCAATTGTGGCTCGAGAGTATATGTTTGTTTGTATCTCTTTATTATCTGTTACCTTAAATAGTACTTAATGTTTGCACTTATTTCTTCTTTTATTTTCTACATTTCCCCACTGAGGGATGGATATGTTGCCTTATCAAGATAGATAGATAGATAGATAGATAGATAGATAGATAGATAGATAGATAGATAGATAGATAGATAGATAGATGATAGATAGATAGATATAGGCAAACATAAGGTACAATTTATTGATCTTACAATGGAGAAATGTATATGTTACATTTGGCATAAGATGTATCACTCAGGTTATGCAAAAGACATGCTAAGAAAGTGAAAAGATAGTCAATTTTGTGTGTTTTTTTAATTAAATAAATATACTTTATTGATCCCCTGTAGGAGAAATTCAGGTGTGCAGCACATAAGTACATCAATTCTATCTGACAATAACTAAAACTAACAATAGTGCAACTCCGACAGATCTGTTGTACAGTCTTAAAGCTGAAGGAAGGAAAATAAATTATATCTTTTACAAAAAAATAACAGCAATATTTAGAAAGATGCACTCTCTATGCATTCTCTATGCATACAAAAATCCCAATAAGTACTTTAACACCATAAAACTTGAATCCCATTTTGCAGTAGAAGATTTGTCGGCCAAAACAAACTAACTAGAGTCACTTGGAAAAACAAAACATTTGGCTTTTCGAAGAGCAAACTCTGCCATATAGGGGATGAAAGTGAAATGCCTGTCTTTTCTGCCTCTCGCACAAAGCTTCTCCGCAGACGTTTGGAGAATGCAATAATGTTTTTCATGTGTTGTGCCGGCTGGTCACAGAGCGCGATTTGTTATTCATGAAGGAAGCTGGGTGAAGAGGCCTCCTTATGAAGCACGCGGACTCACAGAAACCCACACCGCACAACCCGGTCTTCTACAACGGCTCTCGATGCTGTGTAATTACAACGCTTTGTCAATCACTACGGTAAATCTGATCATTGTTAAAAATAAAAAATAAAAAATCTGTGCATTGTTTGCGTTGGAGATTTCTGCAGCTCTCTCTGTTCTCTCACTCTTCTCTGTGGAGTCTTCAAAATGCAGATTGGCCGTTTCTGCCCCACGGCTGTTTTCTTTGGTAGACTTTGAAATATGCAAATGCTTCCAACAAAAAATTGCAAAGGAAGAAAAGAGGGGGAGAGAGGCGTCATCTGTGCTCCAGGAGTTTTTGTGCAGAGAAACAGAAGATTTTTCCCGTTTTTTTGAGTTTTTTTTGTTGATGTTGTTGTCAGTCATGGGTCGGAGTAATTAAAGAAATACGCTGGATGAAGCTAGACAAAAGCAAGCAGCAGACTCAGGCTTACGTTTCAACTTGTCTCGATTTTCTGCTGTTTTGATCGTAAGCATCTTTGACCTTCAGCTCTCCCTGAGTCAGAGAGATCCTGCACAGCGTGAGACTTTACCCAGAACCCCCTGCTGTGCGTTCAAAGCACAAGCAGAGGCAGCCACGCCAACACCGACGAGAGCGAGACAAAGTGAGGAACCGCGGGGCTTTGGAAGGGGAATGATCAAAGTGCCTGAAGCCAAAGTTCTCATTGAAATTTCACAGACATAAAGTCAAATAGTTTTACCGGCTGTAATAAACTGCATTTCATCTGTAACTTTATCATTTTCTCTGCTTTTTCTCAACCGATCCAACAATGACGGTGTTCTTTGTGCATACACTTTGTCATGTCATCGCTCTAAAAAAAAAAAAAAGGTTAAAAAAAACTTGTCTAAAAACTCATTTGCTGTTGCTGCTCCCAAACTGTGGACTAGTTACCCCTGTACATTTGAGCGGCTTCATCGGAGGTTTTTAAAGGTATGTTAAGCGATTACAAATGTGACCTTTTAAAGACTATTTACCTCCACCACGTTTTCGAATTGTTTTCAAAGACTTAGAATTTAACCTATAAATGTCCATGCGAGCTGGAGGACTCACCGTGTCAATGCGCCATCTTGAAATACATTTGTTCACAGGTGCTGCTCATATCGTTGCTTCCCCCGTGTCCTTACAAGTTTGAAAAGGAGATCATGGAAGAAGAATACTGCAAAAATCTAGAAACGGCTGTGACGAGAATTTCCGCAGACGTCTCTACCTCGCAGTCGTATACTTTCACATTCTACTCCCTTGTTAGTGGGACACCTTTCATGTGCGCTCCTGGACCATGGTCGAGGGGCACAGGGGAGTTTTGTGGGTCTCGGGCCGAAGAGATTTGTTCCCTTCACGGGCCCTCAATGTCACAGTGTGGTGCAATACCAATAACACTTTGGACGTTCAAGAGTCAGACCTAAGGTTCAGAACAAGGTCCAAAGCCACGCAGCGGTTAAAGAACAAGGACAGGTGCGGCGCAGGACTATAGCAGCTCCCAGGCGGGGAGGGAGTGCAGCCCAAAACGCGGGTCGGGCAGTGTACTTTATGTTTGTGTGCTCTCTGTGTGCTCCTACTAGTGTCCTGTATGTGCGCTGCAACATTGAAATTTCCCCACTTTTGTTCCAATAAAGGTTCTCTACAGGTGCGGTAAATAGTCCTGCAAGTACTGTATAATATAAAACCATCCAAATCACAGCAATAGTATGAAATGATCTCAGGGTTCAGAGATGTGTTACTAACCACCACTACTGCCTATGTTTATTACCAGACTATAAAAACAAACCTGCAGAGAAGGCAGACTTTATTCAGATTTCAATAGTACAGCTCAATAACAGAAACACTTTCATATTTGGACAGTCACAGAAATCGAGTATGAAATAACAACAGACTTGTAACCTTTAGGGTAATTTGCCGAGCGAGCGATACTGCTGTAAAGAGGACCAAATCATCTGATCTCAATGTGAAATAACCAATAACAGGTGAATCCTTTCAGACAATCATCAGCACCTGTGAAAATACCGTGGAAAGAATCGGTGCTTTGAATTCTAATTTCCCCTCAGCTGTTCTGGAATCGCCTCTAATGGGTTCTTTCCATGTTTTCCACAGCTTTGAACACGAGCGACAGAGAGAGACAGAGAGAGACGGAGAGAGACGGAGTCAGGAAATACTCGGACACTGCGGGCCCTATGCGCAGAGCTGGACCGGGCCAAGCCAAACAGCCCCAGTGCCTCCTGGGACAGCTCTGTGTGAATGCACCGGTCTCTCTGAACCACACAGACGCATAAAGAGTCTCTGTCGTGTGGAGGGCTTCTCTGCGGGTTCGGAGGAAATATCAGATAGTGGAATATTAAGAGGATTATGATACAAGCAGTGCAGGAGCCCCATAACCTCTCGGTCTTGTACTGATTTCCATGATGCACTTTTTAATGTTTTTTTTTTTTAACAATAATCCCCGGGTAAGAAGGATTTGGACAACATTACAATTTCTATCACAAGTAACAAGACTTAAATGTTTATTGAAGGGACCGTGTACAGACTCATGGTGAGGCATCTTTCCAGCACTACGGCCCCCGTTTAGGGAACATTCTACCCCAGGAGCTCAGGGCAAGAGAATGTTCATGTTTTTAAAAGCAGGCCCTTAACAGTTCTGCTTCTTCTGCTGAAGGGTAAATGGGCAAATGTTTTGGTAAAAAGTATTAAAAAAACATACACACTGATCTTTTGGGATCTATACTGAAGTCAATACTGTTTCAGTCTCATGCCATGATTTTGCCAAATTTTTATTTTGCGATTATTTCTGAGAAACTGTGATTGTGATTAGATTCATAATAAAAAAGTATGGGATTTCAAGTGCACTGTGTATCTAATAACTTCATAGCTGTTACATCTGAAAACATATAAACAATTTCCACCCATTTTTAAAAAAAATGTTTCTAAATTGTTTTTATAGAATAAGAATGGAAACACTGTAAAACAATATTCATTCTTAAATATATTTGTATTTTGTTATACTGTCTTAAAGCAAATGTGCTAATACAATCAAGTTATAGATTCTTGTTCCATTGCAAATCTATAGATTTTTTTTTTTCTCGAATTATTCAAATGTTTTACTTAAAAAGCCTGGGTATCTCGAAAGCTTGTCATTTGGTTAATGTTTAATTTATTGCAATGTAATGATACCTTCAAAATATCAAACATTTCAAGGAGAAGAGTAGATGGGAGAAAAGTCATATTAATCAATGAAGTTATATTTTTAAATCAACACTTTCTAGCGTTTTGGACATATTTGAATTGAAACAATGTATATTCATATAGAATAATAATTTTTTTTTTTTTTTTTTTTTTGCAACTTGCCTCCACTAAAATTGTGATTTTTGATTATTCATGCAGCCGTAATAGTGACCGTATGGCCAGTGTCTGCTGTGTTTTGTGTTTTACATAAAAATGAACAAACTCTTCTTGTTTCTACCCTGACTATGGTAGACCCCTGGACTTCAGCCATAGAAGTGTGTTTACTATGGTGTTAGCTGAATGTGGAAGAAGCCGATTTGAAGAGAACATGCTGGAGCCAATTTCCTCATGGGCATTTGCTCCGTCAACATTAGCTTTGCGTCATGACGGAGCACACGTGTTGCTAAGATTGTTGCTACGGCAAACTGGAGTGTCGCCCAAAAATGTCCCTTCGGTCAAATGTTGAGGCTGATCTGGATTGACAATATTCAAACATAAAACACCAGGATCATAGAGAGATGACGCACAGATTTTTAAGCCCAAAATGGTGAATATTATCATGACAGTCTGCAGAACAGGTCCCTCACATTCAAAACGGAAAGGGCCACATCCAGCTTTCTCATGACCTCAATCCACCTTTTAAACGACTGATTGAGAGATGGTCAGATTAGGATTTGTGTACAGTGTATGATTTCTATACATCATCTGTGGCCAAGTGACTCTCTATCCTCCTGACCACTGAAACCAGCGCGTACACTCACAATAACAAAAGAAACGCTCGGAGCCTTGGGGTATCACCCGGCTGTGATTCTGTCCGACCTCTTGCACCCCCCCCCCCCATCACATTCTTCATGCAGATAAGATGGATAAAGTCTTGCCCAAGGACATAAGGCAGCAAGAATGAATCTGGCGACATCGTGAGCGTTTGTCGTGGGTGAGTTAGTGCATGATGCAAACCGTCTCCTTGTTAAGTGATGCTGTCAGCGTAAAGCCATAATAATATATGTTTAAACAATATGAGCAGCTGATAGTAGCGGCAGCAGAAAAGAGCACCGGAGCATGTGGCTGTTTAATGTCAGACAGACAGCGTTCATATGTGTAGGCACTTTTGCAGAGACCTCCATCACAACGTCACATCGGATCGTAATTAAATAAACGTAGAGTGAACACAATCAAACACAGCGAGCCGGAGACGCCACGCAGCTTTAGAAATTAACACGTTTCCACTTGTCGAGGGAGTTTCACATCAACACCACACACAGAGCAGCTATCATCGCCTGTTTTTCAGGAGAGAAACTATATTTAATCTTAGTAGCGTTCAGGCGTCTTAATACGACTGTGGGGCGGGGGTCAGGTTTTATTTTGTACGCCACATTCAACTTCAAATAACTCATATACTAATGTCAGAATATGTGCAATATGAAACCATTATGTGTCCACTGTCCCAGACCCTCATGCTGCTAACATACGCACAGATGTAAACATAGTACTTATAGCACTAGAGTATACAGTATTTTATTCTTGCTTTTTTATGATACTAAAGTCAGAGATTTTAAACTTAGGCCATGCTGCTTCATCATGGTAAAGATGGAGATTTTGTGACGCATTACTATAAAGATAGACATTTTATACTGCTTCTTTTTATGCTAGATTAAGAGATTCTTTCAATTTTTATTTAGTATACATTTATTATACATTTATCTTGTGTTGTGTGCTCCTCATTCCACTCTCTGTAACTGGTGATGCAACACTGAAATTTCCCCATTGTGGGACAGATAAAGGAATTTTAATCTATATTTCAGAATCAGAATCATTTTTATTGCCATGTGAGTAACAGGAAGTCACAAACTAGGAAATTACTTTGGCTCTCGGTGCAGTTAAAGCAGAATAAAAACAAGAAGACATGCATAAATAAAAATCTACATATACAATTCTTGCACAATAGAATACGCAGTACTTGCTTCGTTTTAAGCTAGAGATTTTGTTTTAGTACAGAGTTATTGTTCACTTATCTATAGTGTTGTGTGCTCCTCTCCTCTAACCTGTAATTGATGATGCAACACTGAAATTTCCCCACTGTGGGATGAAGAAAGGATCTCTAAATATTCAGGAAAAACTTAGAAAATCAGAATATTGTTCAAAAGTTAATTTATTGCTGTGATTCAACCTAGAATATGAAACCATTAAGATATAGACCATGTAATAGGTCTATATCTAAATCGGGAAAGTGACATGAAGTATGTAAATCCTCTGTTTATTGTCATTCTGAGAAGAGACAGGAAGTTATTTGTGCTAAATACATTGGCAATTAGAATTAAATAACAATAAGTTTTGACCCATAGTACAACCATTTATTTGAAATAGAAATAAAAGTAGTTATTATCTGGTCTCACAAAAGTCAGACCAGAGTTGGAAACGTTTTGACAGTTCCAGAGTCAGTAAATTATGGTAAAGACGTCCCATATGAAATGAGAAAATATTTGCTTACTACACACTCTCCCAAATTCAAGTGGTCTTTTTCTTACCTTGTCTTTGTTGTTGGCGAAGAACTTAAACATTTCCAGTGTTTGTGATTTGCTAATGGTGACAGTTGTAATTTCAACAATTATTCAGTTATAATAGTCCTTTAAAATATGATTAATTAATTTACAAAAACAGATTTCTCTCATTAGAAAAAAAAAATTTGAAAGGCTTACAATTTGCCTTTTACCAAGTCGTTTTTTGAAAAGCCAGATTTATTTTAGTGCCAAACAAATCAGGTTTCACTCCTGTTTGAGCGAATCCTTTCACATTTACTGCCAATAACAAAACAAGTTGAAGATTGTGTCTGTACACAAAATTATGACAAATGTTCAAAATGGATAAATCTGTTTTTGCAAATGCTCTGTTCTTTTACTGTTAGCTCTTCAAATCAACACCACCACTGCCAGTGTTCCCGCGACGGGGAAAAAAAAGAAGTACAATTTCAAGATTTTAGAATATGCCAAAAATATCCCCCTCCAGTCTGCCTACTACTGTTAGTGCAAATGAGTGTGAATCAGGGGCGACAGTAGCTCAGTTGGTAGAGCATTGGCCTTAAGGCCAGAAGGTCGTGGGTTCAATTCCCACCTCTGCACCTTCTCCACCGACTCCCACTGATGACTGCTGTCGTTGTGTCCTTGGGCAAGACACTTAACCCCACTTTGCCCAAAGCCCGCACTGAAAGATCAAGGCTATGCTCCCAGTCAGAGAGCAGCCGTCCTCCTGTGGACTCACCACCTGCAGAGGGTCAGTGAGGGGCTGGTGCTATGAGACTTGGGTGGCATCTCTGATTGCCACCCCCCTGACCCAGAAATGGATTAAAGGGTAGAAAATGGATGGATGGATGGATGGAGTGTAAATCAGACGTGTCATTTGAAACTCCTATTACCACCACACTCACTCCGACAGAGTGCGCTTAACTCTGGGTCTCACGTCCCAAGTGACTCGTGGCCTCACCCCTCCACGGACCTGCCACCTCACCCCTCCATGGACCTGCCACCTCACCCCTCTATGGACCTGCCCCGTCACCCCTCCATGGACCTGCCACCTCACCCCTCTATGGACCTGCCCCGTCACCCCTCCATGGACCTGCCACCTCACCCCTCTATGGACCTGCCACCTCACCCCTCCACTTGGGCCGGTGTTCTGTCGAGACGGTCTGGCCGTGTTTGTGCATTTGTTGGTGGGTGCGAGAGGGATGGTGGCTTTTAAAAAAGGTTTTATGTTTTTATACTTTTTAAGCATGTTGTGCGTTTATACGATTTTACTAACTTTACACCTCCCGAATCACGTGGCCACATGTGACGGACAATTACCTGTGCCGGTTTCCAGCGGAGGAAGCCGGAGAGAGAGACATGGGGGCCAGACACGGGCAAAATCCCGTGGCTAAAGGACCGGCACTGAGCTCGACACGCAGACCATCCGGACAGAACGCCGGCTCCAGCACGGCTCGCGGTCCGGGTGAAACCAACAACCTTGGCATCCGTGCAACGAGAACACAGCTCCTTCATGGGTGCTCTTTGATGTAGCTTATCAAAGGGCCTCTCTCCTCCTCTCCTCTGCAGACCAAAGGCTACTATTGTTTTTGTTGTTGTTCCCAATATTGTTTTTCCGCCCTCACAGCACAAAGCAGTCTGACCATGACTCTGATGCTAATGCGGAGGTGGAGAGGGTGTTCTAATGAGCAGAGGAGTGGATCAGAAAGGCTCGGGGGGTAACACTGGGGGAATAGGTATAGCGGCCCACATCAAAAACACACACGGATCCTGCTTCATCCACAAACCGTGACCTCTCAGAGAAACAGCCGCGGACACCCCAACACAGCGCTCTATCAAAACCAACGTCAGGGTTTAATCTCATTGAGAAGAGTGGGGAATGACTATTAAGAGATTTTATACTCAATTCTTGCTTCTTAATTATGCTAAAGTTGGTGATTTTAGATTAGCTTCTTCATTATGCCGAAGTTAGAGTTTCTATTGTTCTGGAACTGGTGATGCAACACTGAAAATTCCCCACTGTGGGATGAATAAAGGATCTCTTAGGGCCTGTCCCAATTCTGAGGGCCCTTGAGTTATGGCTGCAGTCAGACTTTATTTTAGGGCCAATACACACCAAGATTCACTTGTATCCTGCTCCGGTCGCTTTGCTCATACGCCACACTTTTCATTCTCTTTCATTCATTCATTTCTCAGGCTCACGCTGTTTACTCCCCGGAGTGCTCCTGTGGTTTTTTTGGGCATCATTACCTCAGGACAGGAGGTATAGTGATCACCAGCGTTTGTCTGGGAGCTATAAAACTCAAAAGGTGATAAACAACATATTCAGGAAACTTACACAATGGCCGAGTGAACAAGTGATTACATTACGGAGGTGATCTGAGTCCCTATTCTGGATGCAGGATTTTTGTAAAGAAACTGAACTCTGTGCT